AAGACTAATGCTGGAGTTCGTCAGTGTTTGGTTTTGCTCCAACTTTTATCTGCATGGTTGGTGAATTTCGTCCGGCAATGTATATAACGAACTTGCTTGGGGGGAAAATGCTGGTCCGTCAGTCAGAAAAGAGAGGCATAGGGCTGACTTAAGCAGCCCAGAAAACCGTATGTAAACGACACTATCTCCATAATATAATATCCTCTCCTTCGCCCCTTGTAGACAACCTATTTATTATCACGTGCATATTTACTCTTGTTCTCGCAGTCGTTATAAACTAGGAAGTAATCTTTATATAAAACCCTTAGCAGAATCCAATTCCCAGGTTAGGCAACTGTGGTTCATCACCCCCACTTGAGCATCATCAGGTCGGAATCTTGTATTGTTGTCAACATTTTTTTCTCCGTCATTGCAGCACATAAAAATAATTTGCCTCTCAGCTGCCACACACAACCAAATCCTTATCACCTCTCACATGAAATAGGGGAAGAGGCTGGGGTACTTACAATCCTTCCTAAGCCTTCTACCATCTGGACAAACTCCAACCTTCATCTCACCTTACAAATTCCCTTCTTTATGTCTGTTGTTCAATAATCTCTCTTACCAAAGCGTATCATTACCCTCAGTGGTCATTGTTTACACAGTACGCATAACTTCACACCACGTTCGTACCCTGATGCTTTAAAGTGTACTCGATTGACCGTCATCTGCATTAAGATATCGTTGCGGCGCACGATCGTCATTTTCCATGGATCTTACGACAGTGGAATTCCCCCTCCTCCTTGCTCTCGTCTTCTCTTCCTCATATAACTTGTAGTTCATAATGTCTAGGGCACACAGATACGATATCATCCGTAGGTTGTCATTCTTCCACTCTCCTCGTGTACAAGAAACACAGTTAACTCAGCCACAACACAAGGCCACATTCAGCCGCGTCACTTGGATCGTGGTTTGTGTGTACCTCCCCCCAGAACCTCTTCACCTGCATAAAAACTAACGAAGAACTTTATATTTAGCAACATGACTCGCTGATAGAAAGATCTGTTATTGACTCCGATTTATTCTTGTTGTTGTTGTTATAATGTTATTGCTGTGCTTCAACGTTAGTAATACACAGGATATCGACAATAAAAATTATGCGAGACAGAACTCTCCATTTTAATTTGTTAGCATTATTCTCTCTGTTTCAATAATTTTTACGCCATTATTTACTGTTCGTGAGTATCAGTTTTCTGTGAAGGCAGAATTTGTGCTTGGTTATGTCATGTGTAAATTATAAAAAAAAAAAAAACAAATATTGTGAAAATGATTAAAACAATTTGAAGTTATTTATTTAAAGGGATAGATGGTAAAATTTTGGAGAAGAGTTGTTGTACTTGGAATATATTATTTTCATGGCATCTGATAGTTTAAGTCGCTGCTTTTCATCAATATTTCGACAATTGTTATTCATATTTGATATAAAAACGTTATAGATATTACTCCCGCCGATCGGATTTGTGACTATTGCTGCCAGAGTCGAAAAAGGAGAGAGAGAGAATCGAGAAAGGAGAGAGAGAATCAAGAAGGGAGAGAGAAATATAATCGAGAAAGGAGAGAGAGAAAATCAATAGAAAGAGCAACACAATGATCGTGCTTAACAACATGAGCTCCCCAGGAGTTGGAAGGGGTCAGTAGCCAATGTCACAGCTTACAAAAAGTCAACCAGGTAAGAGTTGACAGCGTCCTCTAGATTACATGGGTCATTGTTTAACGATATCCTCACTGGTTATAAAGATAATTTTGGTTCTAGCAATAGTTTCCATCTTATAATATGCTGGAAAAAGAAGGGAAATAGTTCTTAATATAGACTACATGATATCAGGGTATTGTTTTTCTATAGGGATCTTTTCTTGTTGCTGCTGTGGCCATGATAGTAGGAATTGGAAGGGGATGCTCTAGTGGATTGCTGACGATGATAAATGTGCCTGATGATGTTAAAATATTTGGGTAGGAACATTTGACGGATTGGCTGATAACGGAGCTCAAAACTTGCTTTGTGTTGAGTTGCCTTGGGTTGTGTTGCGTTGGTCAGCTCAAGTATAAGATATTTCTGGTTATTTTTTTAAGTGTGTTTCTGACGTTAACTTTATTAAACTTCATAGCTATAAAAGAGTTTTAATCGTTTTTATGGAATACTTGCATCTGAATCTTGCTAATAGGAGATGTTTCATAAATAAATCCTAGTTCTTTCCTCCTAGTAATTCCTGATTCACAAGGTGTCTAAACATGACTGGTAGTTAAGTCAAAGCATAGTTTCGCGCTCACCCAGTTATGTAGTTTGGAGAAAGCAGGTTTAACTACACATTACTTACATATTCTCAGTGAACACAAACCAGGGGAGGGGGTGGCATGAATGTTTCCAGAACAGGAGTGACTTTACTTAGAATTTTAGGAATGTGACTCTCCAAGACGCAACACAAATGATGTTTTTATTCAAGCTCTTTTCGTCATCTATGTTAATTTTGTATCATTCATCTTTTAAATATTTTCATCAATCTATTATATGTCTAATCATCTTTATTCATATCCTGTACCTCATCAGAAGACAGGGAGAGAGGTAGTCGTGATAAGCTTGTGGTAGCAGTTATAAATAAGTTGTAAAACCATTATTGATACTCTTGTTATTTATTGTCTTGAGATAAATGTATAATATTTATTAAGTCCCATCGACAGAGATACTGAACTTAATAGACTCGGTTGTGCTTATTCTGTTGTTGTCACTTTGTGGGGGTTTTTTCTGGGTAAAGTGTGTTTGAATTTCATTTTTAATTTTGCCTTTAACTTAATGAATTTCAGGAGACTTGTTTATCTACCTTCTTAAAGTTTCATCAGTGTAGTTTTCACTTACTGCAGGAACGTAACTCCTACCCCCCCTCCTCCTCCCCCTCCCCTCCCCTCCCCTTTCTTTTTTTACTAAGTAATTTTTTTTACCTTGTAGACTCCCAAAAAAGTTGTTGCTCTTGAAAAGTTTACTCTGTCATGCCTTGAGACCCGAGACGACCCATTACCCGCATAAAGTGACTGGTGGTGTAATTCGACCCATAACACACACACACACACACACACACACACACACACACACACACACACACACATAAATCTAAAAGTAGTGTTGCATACCAACTCTAAACCTTGAAAAGACCAATTTAGATGTACTGAGCATTCACATTCAGGTGTGGGGAACGAAAGTAGACATGAATATTAGAAGAGAGTGAGTGTTTGAAGTCCTCATTGCTGGGGGAGTAAAGACGTAATGACATTTTCAGAAAGGTAACTTAATTATTCCTTGATTTGATGGACTTGAGACATTGGAAACAAAAAATATATATTTATCTATCATTTTCACTTAATTTCAATATTTCTAACTTTCCGATCGTATTTTTTCTTATTTTTATTACCTTTTCATTTCTTAATTACTGATCTTTTCCTTGAAGATCACATGAGTTTACCTGAAGATTATCCTCCCAGCGTATTTCAACCTGATCATTAAGCACCCTAACGCTACCTGGGGGGATTAAGTTAGATTAGATTAGGTTAGGTTGGGCTGGGCTGGGCTGGGTTGGGCTGGGTTGGGCTGGGCTGGGTTGGGCTGGGTTGGGTTGGGTTGGGTTGGGTTGGGTTAAATTAGTTTAGGTTCACAAAATAAGCTGGGGGGGGGGGGGCGCAAATTTTCAGTTCATCCGGTGCTACACGTTCTCAAATAGCTTGGTGCCTTCCATTATTTGAAGAAAAAATAAAACTTTGAAAATGTATGTCATCAGAATACATTATTAACCCTAATGAGTGTTGTTGAGGACTAAAAATAGAGACTTCACTTTTATTTTCAACATTTTATTTTTTTATTACAGATTAGTCTTGTAATATTCATGAATAAATACTTAGAATAACATATAAATAATAGTTTGTTAGTCACTGATGGTAAAATAGTTCATTAGTCATAATAGTCCTGAATAGTTTTTTATTTTTACCATAATAAATAAAAGTTCTTATCAGTCACAAAAATAGGAGTTTGGTAGTCATGAATAGGTAACTGTTTATATCAGTCAAAAACAGTTAATAGTTCGTCAATCACATGTTATTCCTGTCAGTTACATATGGTTAATATTTCACGTCAGTTATAGGACTGGTTCATGTAATAAAGCAAAAACTCTCAAACTACACAACGGTGCTACCCTACGCTGAGGTCGACTGAATATCCCTCAAGGTATCAACAGCTTGAGATGAGTAAGTATTTATTTTTGAGATCACATGAAGATCAGACACCCAAGCTTATTTTACCTGAAGATTTACCACCTTATCGCTACCTCTGGGGGTGAGAGGGGTAGGGTTAGTGTTAAAATGGTTAATCTTAAGGTGAAATAAGCTGGGGTGTCTAATATTCAGGTGATCTAATCATTGACTGTATTGTAGGAAAGTAAAGGCAATGTGGCACCTTTATTTCTTTTGATTATAGAATATCATCCTTCATGCAGCATTTTATTTTACACACACACACACACACTCACACGCCATTGGTAAAGCGTTTCTAATGGTGTTTAGTCTAATTTCGTCGTGAGCAAGTTTCTCCATTAACAATACTGTATTATATGGTAGTCTTGACAACCCCTTAAATGCTGATACACCAGACAGGAACTATGAATAAGTCACTGATTTCCGGTGACTTGCAAGTGTGAATGTTAAACCTTAGTTATGATATTAGGTGGTGATGGTACCCTCTGTTTCAGTCGGTTTACACTTGTATGTATGTCACTGTTTAATTCTGATGCTGAGAACTCTCTCTACCTCTTTAGCTGTTACCATTATCCACATGCACTGGACGCTCTAAACCTAAAACAGCTAATAACCCAGATTTTTTAGAACTTATAGCTAGGAATTCATATCTTAAGTTCACACACCTGTCTGTTACGTAATATTTTTTTGTCATGAACTTGAATTTGAACGTTGTATGACTTATTTCCTCCTATTATAAACATTATGATAGTACTGAGCATTGAATTGGTCGTTGTTTTTGCGCCATCATGTGCCGACTGTGATAAGTACCCCCACCAGCGGCTCGGGCTTAACTAACTAACACATTCACCACCAGCGGCAGTTGTCAGAAATATCACACGTACAGCATGCCCTCATTTTGATTTTTTGTATATAATTTCTACCTGTTGTATAATAGCAATGATAGTGTCGTGAGGAGATGGCATTCCGTAGATGTTGGCTGTACTCTGTGGTCATGCTGGAGAAGATCACTCAGCTGCCATCTTTCTGTAATCCTCATAGTCGTAACCAAAGAGCTCGAAGTCCAGTCGGTACTTTTGATACAGCTGGTCTACCTGTGAGGAGGAATATTGATTTTGTTGAGTGGGGCTTGAGAGTGAGTGATACTTACCTACCCCCATCACCGCCATATCTGGGCAGTAAAGGGTAGTGAAAGTCCAAGTGTGCGCCAGAGTCATCAGCACCAACACAGAGAAGAATGTTAAACCTTTATCTGATTGTGATGCTGATCCTGTCTACTGTTATTAAGTAATGTAATACAATTAGTTTTATTACTATAGTCATCGCTACTACTGCTACTACTACGGGATGCTTAGCTTTTGTTTACTATACAACTTCCTTATTACTACAACTACTAAATTTTTGTACTACTACTTTTTACTTTTTTTTTAAGTGGCCTCCAGCCTCCCCCAATAGCCACACCTTCGCCGCCATTTTATTACCTTAATATTAAATATCCTAATACATAAGTAGCTATCCTATCTGTGTTGAATTAGTTGAGCCGCAGATCTATGCGGCATTCAGTAACTGTAGCCTCATAGTCAATATCTGCAGCTGTTGTCGGCTTTGGGGACGAAGCTCTCGTTCCCCTGAGGGGAACCAATATTTGATACCACTCATACTACTTTCTACTACTACTTACTACCTCCATTTCTACTACTACGAATACTACAACTACTACTACTTCTTACCACTACTGCCACAACATACCTCTTTACAACTACATTACTTATAATCACTCTTTACTTTACTACTTAATACGCCCTCTACTCCTTCAAGCTGTAACAACTCACAACACCACCTTGACTCACCTGGTTGGCTGTGAGCTGAGAGAAATAGGTGCTGGCTATGTCTGAGGTCTTGGTGTTCGATGTCCTGTGTATCCACTCTACTTGTAGGCTGTCCTCCAACCCCAGCTGTTTGATGATATACTGGGAGTCCTGGCCAGCGGCGTCAGGAGGGCAAGAGCGACGATGGACCGTGGTGGAATAGCGGGCAGAGGTTATATGAATTAGTGTTTGGGTTTACTGATTCTGGTTTAAAATTAGTGTGTGTGTGTGTGTGTGTGTGTGTGCGTGTGCGCGTGCGTGTGCGTGCGCGCGCGCGCATTATAAATAAAAAAAAAATATATATATATATCTTGAACATCTGGAATATTGCCTGAATACTCCAATGCTTTTAGTTCTTTTGATAATTTCCAAAAATATTTCTTAGTGTGATTCTTGTCTGTTGTTTATTGAGTGGTGGGGGAGTCATCCGATACATCAGCCATTGTAATTATCAATCATCATGTTAGTCATTGTTTCATCATCTTTTATCTTTTCCCCTTTTTGTTCTACTGTTCGTTTAATGATGAATTGACATAACAAACCTCGTGATGCTTGACTGAAACTCATAATTATTCGTGTGTGAAAATAATGAACTGAAAAAAGCCCTTGTAAAGTTCCAATTGGTTAACGTTACACTATAATATCATCCTAGCAGTAAGGTTGAAACACCTGTAACTAACAATAGGATTTCCTCTCTTAGCTCCACGTCGTTATTGATCCGGTACCATGACGTTATTATCTTGGTAAATAGTAAGGTTTCTCTAACTCATCGGTTAATGATGTAATGAAATACACTGGGCATCACTGTTAGCTACCGTGACGGAGGAGCTGTAGTTAGAATTGTGTCCGCCAGGTGATATAGAGCGTAAAAAAAAACATCCTAAATACCTAGTACATCTGATTTAACTTTCCTTCAAGTACTGGCAGTTCTGATGTGACTTTCTCTGTTCGTAATGGTAAATAGAATACCTCCTCGAATAGGTTAAGAAGAGATGTTTGTCAAGGAATGCACAGCGCCGAGGAGGAGAAAGGGATGATGGCCCAGGAACGAGGCAAAGCGGTGACCCAACTACAAAGGGAGGGAGGGAGGGGGGGAGGGAGACGCTGGCCTATCTTCTGATGTTTAGTGTCTTGAGGGAAATGAAGACGAATATAGGAGGAAGAGGAGCAGAGTCTTGAGTGGGAATGAAGTAAATAAAGTTAAACACACACACACACACACACACACACACACACACACACACACACACGCGCGCGCGCGCGTAAAAGTAATATTAAGAGAGAGGGTAATCGAGAAGAGGCGCTGGGCAGAACAGGTCAGGTAGATGAGCAAGGTGTCAAGGGGCCTGCGCGTAGTTTCTCTCTCGGGTTGCGTAGCTTGGCGAAGTGAAGCCGCAGACTAAACGCACTTTACCTACCAAGGACCTGTTTTGTGTGGCCCCCTGTATGTTTACCTTGTGTATAGTGGAGGCAATTATAGATAGGTTTGTATCTTGAGTACGCTGCCCAACCTCCTGCATACACGGAATTTTCCCAGTGGTTTGTTTTGCCAAATTTTCAAAGCAATTAATTTAGAGGATGGCACTTAGTAATATTTCCTTGTTATTATACTCTACAGGAGCATCATTTAGGAGGCATCACTTATGTATACAGTATTGACTTATTATTATATCTACATTCTACAGCAATATCAAAGTTTTCTACACTATACCGCCTCCTTCCGTAAGTAATGATGTAAACAATACCCACGTGTGTTTAGTTCTGGTAAACCATTGGTAACTTTTGATGGTAATATTTGAATGTGTAAATATCAGAACTCGGGGGGTATATTTTTGCGTCCGTGGTAAGAGGTTTTAAGGGAGTGTTTGAGAGACACTATTAGATTATTTAAGGGGAAATAATATAAACAAAATTGAGTTAGAAAATAAAATAAAGTGAGTTAGAAAAAAAAAGATAGTTAGAAAATAGAAAAACTGATAGAAAATTTATCAAGTTGAGTTAGAAAAGATAAAAATTGAGTTAGGAAAAGAAAAAATCTAGTTAGAAAAATAGAAAAAAAAACAATTGCGTTAGAAACCATCGCCTCCCTCCCTAGAACACACTGCAGCTGGGAACTCAACTAGGAAGAGAAACTTTGTGTAATATTATAGTCGACTCACCTCTCCCATCCTACAACACTGGGGCCAAATAATCCCCGTGTTTTTTTAATACACTTTCACATATGTAAAATTAAATAAAACCAAAGTAACAATTGAGACTTAACAATGACGGGTTTGGTGATGACAGGTATTGAAAAAAACAATTTCCATGTCAAGGTATACTATGGCTTAAGCACCTGTAATAAGGCGGTATGCAAATTGGTCTGTAGTTACCCGAGGATCTTCATTGTGTGAGAGGAATATGGAAGTAATTTTTTATATATTTTTTTTTATTCAATGCTGATGTAGGTTTAAATTTAGGACAAAAAATGTAAGAATTTCTTCCATAATTCAATAATATTTTGAGGGGAATAAATATTATTTTTTAACAAATTGAGACGAGTGTATCATTGGTTTCCTTGGGTGACTGTCAACATACTGAGGAAACTAGGGATGGTCTTTACCTTTTGTAGTTGATATAGCTTAGGTGGGTTCATATAGCTTAGGTGGGTTCATATACATTGGTGGGTTTCAGTATGTCAGGACGATGAATTTACAATGAATATAGCGGTTGTTCCTGAAGAAAGACCATCAAATTTTCATGTTTAATTCTGTTTCAAAGATGGTAGAGAATTATCCGTATTAAACCTTAAGAAAAACACATGAGAACAAACCCCGCCACTCACCTCACTGAAAGTCTCCATCTTGGCAATGACGTTGAACTTCATGACGCAGGGAGAGCAGAGGGCGTAAATTGGCCTCCAGTGGTCGTCGAACTTGGATGAGGGTGAGTTGATAAGATACCTGACGAATTCTCTCCAAGTGGGCTCCGTCTTGTTAGCCAGGGAACGGTCGCTGTCGTCCCGGTATACTCGCACGATGTTCTTGCCGTACATGGTGTAGTAATAGCCGTCCCTGTGAAGCATGCCACCCACCCACCATGCTAGCGTCAGTATTGTTGTCTACATGTACAGTGCCAACCAATGTTTTTTTTTTTGATGAATTTTTTTTAAGAGATCAATAATTATATTGAGATTTCTTTTACGGACTGAATAATTGTATTGATATGTTTCTTAAGAATAGAGGGTGAAGGTAACTTCTTACAATAGTAACCAAATCCTTTGAGAACGAAAGTTTCAGCTTTAACTTTAAGGACGATTTAAGCTGCACTCCTCGGGGGATAAAACTATCGTCCTCAAAGGGTTCAACTTAAACGTTCAGCTTTACTTAGACGCCATTAAGATCGAGTAACGGTCAGACGGCGAGTTAATAAAATTTCATATAATTTCGTAAATAATATTCCACACTAGCGACCAGAAGTGACACCATTGAAAAGTTTGTTAACGAGCACAGCCAGAGACTCACCTGAACATGAGGTCCCTCTGGTAGTCTTCCAGCTTGTCCCTGTAGGCGGAGATTATTCTTTCAAACGGATGACGAACCACCAGGAACTTGAAACTGTTCTTGAACGCTTGCTTCATCTTGCTGGTAGCCGATCTGAGTGAAGACATAATGGGATGTAAACCTCGGTAAATATAAAGCCAGCCGCCAGCACCAGGTAGTGTTGTGGGTGTATGCTGGGATGGGACAACAGATATAAGAGTAACGTGAGGTTTACACCGAGTTTCTCACATCACAATTTACAGCTGTTGTAAACATATATTACTCATAAGTACAGATGAAGAGACAAAACTAAATTAACTTGATATAAAAATCGTAAACAAATAAAAACATTTCCACCGTAAAGCCTCGGTGGGTGTCAGATGTGTTGATAATTGTTGTAACTAAATACTCGCAATATTAATAAAACTGGTTAAATAAGAATTGCAGACTTCCATTGTGGGATCATAGCTGTCGTGGATATCCCTCACTTACCGTTCATTACAGTCGGTGTGTGAGTGACGGGTAAAAGGACAACTGTGTTACTTACTTGGGGTAATAATCCCTCAGCAGACGGTGTAGGCCAATATCCGAGCTGATCTGGTCCTGCGGTGCGTTAGCCAGCTTCAGGAGGTTGAAAACCCAGGTGGAGGAGCCACACTTGGGCACCTTGCAGTACACGAAGTCGTCAGTGGGCACATAGAATAGAGAGTTCCAGTTCAATCTGCAAACGGATAACCCAGGGACTGAGATGAAAGCTTTGTGTAATAGAACTTCCTTCACATTTCCCAGTACTCACAACATTATGTAACATTAACCCTTATATATGCTAACCCTTTGATGGCTAAGTTTTCCCTTTAAGGACCATGGTTTATTAATTTGAGGATGATGGTTTAACCCTTTGATGACGATGAATTAACTCGTTGAGGATGATGGTTTAAACCTTTTTTCCATCTTCAAAACGTTAAGGTTACAATCCCTCGCTCTTGTGTTTTAATTCACTTTATTCTAAATGTTATGTTAATTTTAAGGTTAGGTTAGGTTAGGTTAGGTTTGGTTAGGTTAGATTAGGTTAGGTTAGGTTAGGTTAGGTTAGGTTAGGTTAGGTTAGGTTAGGTTAGGTTAGGTTAGATTAGATTAGAAGGCAAGACACAGGAGTGGAACTACTCATAACACAGGCGACTACTTATGGCTTAGGCTACAGGTGCATGATAAGGCATTGTACTTATTCACTCGAGCATACTTGTTGTTGACGTAGCGAGATATTTATCGATCGACGTGTATAGATTTACGCTGCCTTGTTCTATTATGTGGTCAGTCCCTTACAGGTCTTCTATTACTACTATTTTTATGCATTCAACAGGGGGTGCTATTTAATGTATATATTATTTATTGGTGTAAACTTTCCTCAGTTACCATATGTATCTGGCAGGATTAGATATACATTTAAAAAAAATAATTCAATATAGGTGAACAGATGTACGAAAGTAAGACTGAGAATTGCCGTTCTATTATCCACGCGTGTTTGTTTTCCTCACAAGTAAGTAACCAAACAAGTTTAGGCTCATCTCTTACCGTACTCATCCACTCCGGTATTCAGCACACGACTACTGTATATCATCAACACATCTCGAGACCTCAATAACTTAATTCCTCACTCGACCAATATCTTATTTTTTGGGGCATGTCTCTCCCTCCCACCTTCAATTATTATCATAAATCCTCGTCAGTAGTTTTATCCGTTCTCTTCCCAAATGGCTTTTATCACCCCTCCCATGGATAATTTATTTCGTAAACGATCTGAAATCCTAATTTGTCTTGTTTAGTCGTATCTTGAAGCCTCTCCTATGTGGGTGAAGAGAAGTTGTATTAAGACGCTACCTTGTATTCATTTCTACCAACTCGTCTTTGTCAATGCCGTTTTCACCAGATCATCTCCAACATTAATCATCTATTCATATACTGTTCTCAAATCCCACATCTCATCCATCCCTTTCTCCACCGACCTACACTAACCTACATCGCATCTGTGTTTCTTTACTCGATACAAAGACATAATTGTACCCCGATTGTTAGTGTGGTCTCGTTAGCCTCATGATTGGTTAGTCCACAGGAGTTACAAGTTATAAGTCTCCTCACCAAACACTCTTGGTATACGGTTCTGCCTTTATGTATGTGTATCCTCACTTGCTTATTTCACCTGATGATTAAACGTTCTAACGATACCTAGGGTTGTTAGGTTAGGTTATGAGGTTAGGTTAGGATGGTTTAGTTTAAAGTTAGGGTGGTTAATCTTTTGGTGAAATAAGACTAATTATCATCATTCTCCTTTGTCGATCGTCCAATACAAACAAGGGCAAACGTCGATCACGCCACACAGTCTTGAAGCAACTACATATTTGATTTTCCCACTTTTTATACACGTGAGAAATCTTGCAATCCTTTCTCAGCATCATCACCCCGAGCCATACACCACATCCTACAGTATCTACAAGGAACCTTCCACTCTTATGGTATATCATTGTTGTCGTCTTTCGCTGGGGTGAGAATCTTGGTATTTATTTCGACATTAATCTAAGGAATTGTGTGTCATAATGTCCAGCGGTCACTGTGTGTGTGTGTGTGTGTGTGTGTGTGTGTGTGTGTGTGTGTGTGTGTGTGTGTGTCACCTCCAGGTTTGATCATCTATCACAACCATATCGTTTACTCCACAGTTATTTTACTTCATCAGATACTATTCCTCTCCTGATTTTATTTATTTGTTTATTTATTTTCTAGTTATCGTATTATGTTTACCTTCTGTTTCATATTAACTTTCGATTAAAGCTGAAATTTGGCTTGGAAATGCACATGCATCTCAAAAGTGTTAGGGACGAGGAATTTCTGGAAGTTGGCTCCTGTGGTTCATCCCCCCACCTACCCTCACCTACACCCCCCACCCCCATCCCCCCCATCACCCACCCCCACCCTCAAAGATGGACCTACCTTACGCTTGTTTCTATGCTACTATATTAATATACTACATGTTCTGTGTCACGACTCTTGTTTAGTATTTCTCATTCTTGTCTATGCTCATGTGACGCTATGTTCAATTGTTCATGCATCAATAAAAAGAAAGTTTGTCATGCTACCTGTCACAAAAAATAGATACACTGAGGACTGGTGAAAGGAAAGAAAGACCACTGGATGAAAGGTGTTTTACGACTTGGCAGCACCAGTGAAACGGGTTTAGTGAAGGGAGGGAGGGAGCGGGGAAGGGAAGGAAGGAGGGAGGGAGCGGGGGAGGGAAGGAGGGAGATAGCGGGAGGGCATGCAAGCAGAATGCGTATTATTGTTGATGTTTTGTTGTGTGTGTGAGAGAGAGAGAGAGAGAGAGAGGGCCTGAAGGTGAGGCTGGCCCACTCCACGAGGACACACATGTGAAAGTAAAGATGGAGGAGTGAGAGAGGAAAGGTGGAGGAGGGAGGGGGGAAGGATGGAAGGATGAAGGATTGAGGGAGGAAGGATGGACTATAAAAAAAAAGTTGTTTGTCCGAGAGAGAAAGTGTGTGTGTGTGTGTGTGTGTGTGTGTGTGTGTATTTTGGGTAGTGCAATTGTGTTCTGATGTAACTGTGTTTGTGTTTTTTATCGGTGTGTTTTTTTCTCACGTATATTGTTTGTCCGTTTTTTTGTAATTGTTGGGATTTTGTTGTTGTTGTGTGTATGTGAAGAGATTCAGAGCGAGAAAGCAAAATAACCCACAGGTAAACAGAGAAAAGGTTAAAAAAAAACAAAAAAAAACATGGATCACGTGAAGATTTAACCCCATCTTATTTCACCGAAAGAATAATTACACTAACCTAACCTGAACCCCTGTAGGTGGCGTTAGGGTGTTGAATCATCAGGTAAAATAAACATTGACTGGAGGCTAATCACGTGTGTAAGAGTCATTGGGCGACTCGTACCCTCGATTAATCTTCCCCAGGTAATGATCCTATCCGTCTTTGGAGCTCCGTGAAGTAGGTGAGCGGGAGGGGGTGAGGGGAGTGAGCGTAGCTGGGAGAAATGGGAGGCAAGCAAGCATGAGGTTACCAATTATATGTTGGGGGGGAGGGAGGGAGTGAGTGATGGAGAAGGAAAACCCAGTCTCGGAGGCACAGCAGAACGCACGAGACAAGAATAGATAACAAGGTCGTAGGGAAAAGCGCCTAGTCACTGAGGGAAGGAGGGAGGGAGAAGGTGATTGAGGCAGGGCGTGACGGTCATAAACGCTGTCTGTTTCGTAAGTCTTGCCGTAAATTTTGCCGCCGCCGCTGTTGTTGTTGTCTCTTTTGCGTTACTGAAGGACATGGAGAACCTGAGCAGAGGAGAAAAATGATAGCCGGATCAGGTGACCGCGTTTGTATACGTTAATTGGTTGCTACTAAGACCTTCAGTGGTGGAAGAGTTATGGGGAGTTGATGGTTAATGTTTATATGTGAAGATTTGTAGTAGTAGTAGTAGTAAGTAGTATTAATAGTAGTAGTAAGTTGTAGTAAGTCGTAGTAGTGTGTATTTTAAGATGGACTTGTGGAATAAGCGCTTAACTCTACTGTTTCGTATACTTGCAGATAATGTTTATATGGTGAACAGAGAAGTTGATGGGTGTTTTAATTGCTATAGCCAAGCATATCTTTTCTTGCGTATGACAGTGATGGAGATTTACAACTGTGACTCGCCTTAACATTATAATACAAATTCATAACAGGATTTTTTCTTTACTACTTGGGAGAACGTACCCTGGTGATATTTTCAGTTACACAGACACAACGCCAAAAAAAAAAAGTGAAATTCTGAAACGAGAATGTTTATGTGCGTTCTGTGAATAACTCGGCTCATTGTGGGTGGAAAAAAAATATTGTACAGGAAGAATTAAAATGAGAATGGAAATATGAAAAATTATGTTAGGTGAATGTGCATCATCATCCTGTGAACAAACAACACGGGTATGTGTGGCCAACTCGTAATCAAACAAAATATTTTCAAATATACATCAACTCGTGCAAGTCATTGGTGGTAAGTATTTTTCTTGATGCCACACGACCACTCACTCCTCCAGGCGCAATTTAAATACATGGCAAGCGTTTTCGTCATGTGATGGGGAGGAATAATGAGGATGTGGCTTAATGGGGAGAGAAAGGTAAGGCATTGTGTACAGGAGAAACGGAAATGGGATCCTAATTATTAATGGAATAATTTTAACTCGTGAGAGAATAATTTCCCTTGACAATTAATGATTATTGACAAAGGATATGCAAATGTGTTTAGCTAAAAACCAATACTTCAGAATATTAATTACATGTGTATAGGCAGTGAGTGTACGTTAATATATTCTCGTATATATGTACATACAGTTAAGCAGAGAGATACAAGCACATAGACCTAAAGATCCTGATGCTGATGGAGAAATCGATAAGGAGAGGACGTAGCCTTAACCAAGTCCAGCTTTATATATGAAACAAAAGACATCATGATAAACACACAATTTTTATCGACATCTTAATTCAAGGCGCTGAAGTTATTAGTGACGTCAGGGTAATGGAGGGAAGCATGACGTTAAGTGGTGGTGTAAGATGAGAGATATCGGTAAGTGAGGGGGAGTGAGGAGAGGTAATGAGGTAGGTGGGAGGTAAACAAGGGAATAACCTGCAAAATGTTCGTGTGTGTGAGGAGCTGGGGTGAGGGGGATGGAGGGGGTGTTACATGTCAAAAAAAAAACCTAGTCTTGATAACTCCCTCACCTGACTGGATATTTTATGGCTTATTACAGTAACCAGTTAAGTTGAAGCTGTTGTCAGATGCTGTCTTAGGGGGTGATGGACTTGAAAGTGATTCCTAACAACTAGGTGATACTTCATTATGGTGTGTAGTCTACGTAGAGTTATATGGCGAGTCGACCGCCCGTATTATTAAACAACATCTTCCCTTGAAGAGAGTTCGTCGTGTTTCAACGATTTTAAACTAAATGAGTCTGAGGACCGCAGTACTGTACTTAACAGAATTGATTGTGGCGGTAAATTAATTCTAATGTATAAATTGTTAGTAGATTAGTTATTTACCGATATTAATTAAAATCGGGTGCTGGGAAGATATTGTTTTTCAGAGCGTATAACAGTGTTTTGACTATAGTGAAGATACTGTGATAATGGTTTCTCAGTTATTGTGGAGAGAATAGCAGGGAAGTATCGCATTGATGTTAAAGTGAACATTCTATTTACATCATCCGAAGTTTAAATCAAGTGGGTCCTTTTCATTCAGATTTCTACCACTATTTTTAATAAGTTTTTCACCGGTAATGAGAATTTAGCTACAAAATACTCTAATTCAATGAATTCTGAGAGATGAGAGACCTGGGATCTTATTCACCACACCTCCGTCCATCGTGGAAAAATTTCGCTCTTAAGCATTTTCTCTCTCTCGAGGTATAAGACACTGAGGCGTGACACTTAGGTCTATAACTGCTAATTAATACTCCAACTGAGACTATAAGTAGGTCAGTCTAACCCACAGATCAAGCTTAAGGTTAACCTATAAGATTCTATAAGCTTGAATTTCTCATACCTACGAAACTTCACTTTCTATCAAGCTTCTTCATATAGAGGTCGTTGGGGGATGACTATTCACTTCTAACCTTCTAAAATGTGGGTCGTTTCTTTTCTCAAGTTGTAAATCGGGCAGCTGAACTTTTTTTTGGTTTACAACACTCTGTCATGAAGCTTGTGTGGGTGGGGTTCAGTTCACCTTCGCCTCCATTATTATATTACGTACTATAGTCACACACACACACACACACACACACACACACACACACACAAACCTTTACCTCTTGAGTGTGAACCAATCAGAATACTGTAGTTTCTCTTGTTGATGGTCTGAGCGTCTGATGTACTCGTCCTGGCTCATGTAGATGTCGTAGGTTTTACACACCTCATGAGCCTCTATCGCCCGCTGTTGATACTCCTTACGTAGGCTGGCCTCATTCTGTCCACGAGAAAATGTATAGGGTTACGACACACACACACTAGCAACTAGGGTGTATTATGTATGGGTGTATAGATGTATAGTTGCAGTGTATGCGGTGTATGGTTGCGTTGTGTGGGTGTATGAATGAAAGGTTTTATGTATGCGGTGTATGGTTGCGTTGTGTGGGTGTATGAATGAAAGGTTTTATGTATGCGGTGTATGGTTGTGGTGTCTGCATATATGACTTAATTTACAGATATTGTAAATTGGTGTATGAATAAAGGGTGTATATTATGATTTAGTATACAGGAACTATGTATGGATACACAAATACGTTAAAGGAAATACTTGACCCTGGAAGTACAAAATGGAAGAAAAAAAAATTACTTCTCTTCTGAATAACAAATATAAGGGACATTTATCACGAAGCGGAAGTTATGTATGCTATCTGAGCTCTACACAAACTGTTTACTCTTCACGCTTGAGGTCCCCAACTCGAGGGGTTTACTTTTTAGTGTAACTCTAATAGAATCTTACAATATACAAGGGAAACGAGGAAACAAGAGAGCTTAACAAGAAAAACAAGAAGACAAGAGAGTTTAACAAGAGAAACAAGAGAGCTTAACAAGGGAACAAGAGAGCTTAACAAGGAAACAAGAGAGCTTAACAAGGAAACAAGAGAGCTTAACGAGGAAACATGAGAGCTTAACAAGGAAACAAGGAAACAAGAGAGCTTAACATGTTAGTCCCAGTCCTGAAGTTCTTGTTTCCATCGTCTTTATATGCCAGTTTATTTAGTAGTAAACATGGGGTCGAGATATTCTGGAGGACACAGTTTATGAATATGCAATTTACACTCGCCACACCTAACTCCTGAAGTCTTGTTTGTCGTTCATGAAGCTTCAGTACACACACACACACACACACACACACACACACACACACAGAGAGCAGGTGACACGGGAATAATTTGTCGAAAAGATATAATTCTTAGTGATTTTTCGCCCCTTTCTACGATTACTGATATTGCATTTATTTCCTCTACTTGCCATTGCTTAAATTTCTTCTACATCGTGTTTATGATTGCTGTCATCTGCTTCTCCCTGTTCTTTATCTCACACAGCTGCCGGGGATTATCATTAGCTAGGGACATGAGGAAGATGGCCGTGGAATTCTAACAAAAGATTCTTTAGAAAATCACTATCAAAGTTCTCTCTTGCTAGTTAATCCATCTTCATTGTCCTCGAGCATAAAAGCTTAAGTATTTTCACCATCGTGCAGTATGACGTCGGCAGATTCTTCACTATCACAACAGAAACGCCGTAAAAACAGAAGGAAACCGCTGCACTGCCTTCAAGAACACCACAACACTGTCTCTATGCATGAGGTGAAATTTACTTGATGATAGGGCAAACCAACTGCTTGTACGATGGAGCCGTAACTTTGACAATTAATTCTGAACGACACTGTGAAAGCGTTGTTTATAGTGGCCATTGTCGGAGATGTGTTGGCTGATGGAACCTTTCTTTCATGCTGTAGGAGGAGAGTTGTTACTTGTCGGGATCACCTGATGAACACAACCTGCTACCGCGGCGGCACCTTGACGCTTGATGTTATCTTCTGATCTTAATTGTGGATGACGTTAGTGTTGAGTATGAACTTTGGTACCTCTCATACTGGTGGTGGCTGAGTGGGATACTACACTCGCCTAATGTCCTTAAGAGTAACTGGTTCGAGCTATTTGTATGTACCCAATACTCGGAAATATACTATTATTATTATTATTATTATTATTATTATTATTATTATTATTATTATTATTATTATTATTATTATTATTATTATTACACAGGGAGAGGGACAGAGGGGCGGAAAGATAGTTGGAGTGGCAGTGAGGTGGAGATATAAAGTGATAAGTTATTGCTCCAGACGACCTTAATAGCCCTATCTTATTCTTATCACCAGCACCCCCTCCTTTTACCCCTCCTCCTCCTTTTACTCCTCCCCCTCCCCGTCCTTCTCCCCCTCCTTCTCTATCCTCTCCTACCGCCCGGACACCTAAACAAGAAAGGAGATCAAAATTATAGTAAGATTGATTAATACTAAAACTTATTATAATTGCTTCATGTATTAACAATACCAGTAACTATAATAAGAATTTTGAATAGGATAAAAAAAGGGTGACTAGTAATAATACTGACTGTGACGATAAAACTACTACTACTACTGCTACTACTACTACGACTACTACTACTACTTTTATTTTTTTTTTTTTTTTAACAATGGCATCCAGCCTCCCCCAATAGCCACACCTTCGCCACCATTTAATTACCTTAATATTAAATATCCTAATACATAAGTAGCCATCCTATCTGTGTTAAATTAGTTGAGCCGCAGATCTATGCGGCATTCAGTGACAGTAGCCTCATAGTCAATATCTGCAGCAGTTGTCGGAGTTGGGGCAGAAGCTCTCGTTCCCCTGAGGCAGAGCAAAGCCGACCGAAGGAGAGAGAAAGACAGTCGACATCTCACCCAGGCTGTAACATAACTTCTGGGCTGCTGCTTCTGTTCGGAGATCAACTCCGCTAGTCTGGCGTAGAAACATCTTGCACTTGGTCCCATCCCACCAGAGGTTGTGAACACTAGAGGAGTGAAGCTGCCTTGATCAACGTTTTGAATTCTCTCCCCATATGCCCTTCTCTTGCCGTTCTTGTTCCTCCTTTTTGCAGCATCGAGAGCTAGGTTACGGTGACATGCGGCCATGGGATAAAAAATCCTGATGGTCGAAATAAAGCTCGCTGTCCCCGCGTCCAGAATCCTCGAGCACTGACGTCCACACGGGCTTCGTTAGATGTGTTTGAAGTCCTGTGTTGGAAGATGTCACCGCCCAATGGAAGGAGGGTCGGTTCTACCATGACATCCCGGCAGATTTCCTTCAACATATTTGCTGTGAGATCCCTTACCTCGTCATGCCTCATGCATGTGAAGCCCCCCTTCTTGCACACCATGGCGTGATCGCCATCATAGGAAGAGCCACACACGCATTGGGAGGGCAAACCTTCTACTGGCCGACCGTACCTTAGAGCAATGGCATCTGTAAATTCTTGTTTATTAAGACTGAAACGATTTGCCCTTATCGGTAACGTAGTTAACCAGTTCGAGGCGCCCACCTCCTGCGCTATAGCTATTTTTTTTTTTCAAATTTTCTGGTACCTGCAGCAATAGTTGCTGCAACTTATCATTTTGGCAGTGCTGTCGATCTGTCGTAATGGACCTACGAATCTTATTTACTTCACTGATATCCACTTCCCCTGTTGCATTCTGGGCTATTATGTGGTCCGTGAGGGGTGCCGTGAGCTTAAGTGAATTTTGATGTTCAGTGGCAGCAATCTCCTCTGGATTTGTTAGTCCCATCCCTCCCAGTCTTGGTGGAAGTACAAGAAGTGCTCTTTCTGCTGGGGTTAAGTCAGGGTGTTTCACTAATTTGGGAATGAACTTGACACTGATAGCTTCTTCCAGAGGGTGGAGGAGGGGTCCGATATCAGGGATAGTACGCATCAGGTAGTTCCAGCGATGCTTGACTCCATGGGTGAATGCAGCAAAGGCCGCATGTGGCTCTGTGTTAGCAATCTCAGACAGAGCTTGGATTTCACTAACCCACTCATTCACCTTTCCCGCTACGTACTCGGTCTTGAAGTCCGTAGTGCCAATTACTGCGCCTAGATGTCTTTGGCCGTCCTTAGTTATTTTGACCTCACTTCCGCCAAAAACCTCCAATGCCCGTTCATAATGTTCTGGCTTCACGATGAGGAAGGACTTGCTGGCGTTTGGGTGGTACCCTATTTGTGGACCTCGCGATGTTACCAAGTCCCACCACTTTTTGATGCCCTCCACTTTTCCTGCTCCTGTAAGGTCATCAGCATATGCCACTTGTTTGACCCCAGTTGTTTCAAATTTTATTTCTTGTTGGAGCACTGATAGGCCAATTGCATACATTGCCATTGCAACAGGGTCCCCCTGTGTTGTTCCCTCGGTTGACTGTAAGATGGTATCACCTCTTAGAGCCTTGTTGTTTACTATGTAGAGGTCTGATGGATTCCTATACGAATTTTCAACATACATCGCAAAGCTTGGACACTTGATCTTGATGTTGTGCAGTGCAGCCTTGCGGTTAAGTATGTTGAATGCGTTTGAAGCATCCACCAGGAGAACGGCCTCACAATCACGCTGCTCAAATATCAATCTCATGGCGTGAATGGCAGCCTCCCCACCAGCCTGGTGGCCAGCACACACTTGTAGGTTCCCTGCTGCTGCCCTGACATCATCCTTTACCACCTCCATTATGCATTTTCCGATGATCCGCCTCAGCACTTCCCCCACCCCTATAGGTCTACATCCTGGTTTCTTTTCCAGAGGAATAAGGCGGCAGGCCGTCAGGGCCTGGAGGTGTTGGCAGCAAGAGGATGCAAGCTTTCTTGCTACTCCACTAATACCACACTTCGACCTTAATACTACTGCTACTACTACTACTACTACTACTACTTTAAATAGTGGCCTCCAGCCTCCCCCAATAGCCACACCTTCGCCACCATTTATTTACCTTAATATTAAATATCCTAATACATAAGAAGCTATCCTATCTGTGTTAAATTAGTTGAGCCGCAGATCTATGCGGCATTCAGTGACTGTAGCCTCATAGTCAATATCTGCAGCAGTTGTCGGAGTAGGGGCAGAAGCTCTCGTTCCCCTGAGGCAGAGCAAAGCCGACCGAAGGAGAGAGAAGGACAGTCGACATCTCATCCAGGCTGTAACATAACTTCTGGGCTGCTGCTTCTGTTCGGAGATCAACTCCGCGAGTCTGGCGTAGAAACATCTTGCACTTGGGCCCATCCCACCAGAGGTTGTGAACACTAGAGGAGTGAAGCTGCCTTGATCAACGTTTTGAATTCTCTCCCCATATGCCCTTCTCTTGTCGTTCTCATTCCTCCTATGTGCAGCATCGAGAGCTAGGTTACGGT